CCCTCAAGCTGTCGCGCGTCTCCTACTACGGCGTGCCCAACCTGGCCACCCTGCTGCCCGGCGTGCCGCCCGTGACGTACGCGCAGGGCGAGCGCACGAGCCCCGGCGCCAGCAGCCTGCCCACCACCGACAGCCCCACCTCCTACCACAACGAGGAGGACGACGAGGACGACGAGGCCTACGACACCATGGTGGAGGAGCAGTACGGGCAGATGTACATCAAGTCCTCGGGAGAATACTCCGGTAACGCGCCCGCGCGGCCTCCCCCTTGGCTCCTCTGCCCTCCCCGAGGGGTTTCGCTTGGCGCTTCCTCACCCAACGGTGTTGGTTTGGGGCAGTTCCTGGGGTTTTGGTCTCCTGGGATGCTCTTTGGTGGCTGGGCATGGTTGGGTGCTCTGAGGGTTGCATGATGCCAGCTGGGTGCTGGTGGCCACGGTTGCATCCAGCCCGTGGCCCTTGTGCCACTGCTTGCACACCCAAGCAGAGATTCCTCCATAGGCGGCAGAGCCCCATCCCAGGCCACCATGTCCACAGAGCTTATCTGTCCTTTTTTCATGGCCTTTCTGAAGAAAAAACCCACATCTATGTATGTTTCACTCTCTCCCTCCGAATATCACCAAATCATTTCCATAGAAGGTACCGTTTAGGAGCCTCTGCAAAAAGCACGTGTATTTTTGTGCCTGCTCATTCCGTGTAACGCTGCTGTGCTCGTCTCCTCCGGCACGTCTAGAGGGGGAAGCGCTTTGGGGGCCTCTTTGCTGCTTGTGGCTTTTATGGCAGAGCCACCATGTCCCCCAGCTCGTGCCCTGTGCCCAGCAGTGCTTGGGGATGGTGGTGCTGCTGGTTTCAGTGGTCCTTGCTAGCCCAATTCCTGCCAATTTTGCCTCCCGTTTGTGGAAGCGCCGCCTTGCTGCCCTCCGAGCGGCTCCGAGGCCGCGGTGGCTTCGTCCCCGCGCTGCCCGGTGGCCCTGCCTGCACCTCCCCTTTGGGACAAGGCAGCGTCCTGCTCTGAATAACCCAGCTAGAGCACGGCCCTTCCAGGAAAACAGGGGGCACACATGCACAAAAAGAGATTTTTTAACAACAACAAAAAAGCAAAACCGAAGCTACTGCATGGCAGCTTGGGCTTGCACAGCTAACCGTGCTTTAATTAGTGGGGATAAACTGTACCCTCGGAAGGTGCAGAATAATACAGGCGTAAGATGGCAGAGGGAAGGAGCTAATCCCGCCGCTGGCACGCCGGGCTCTCCCGGGTGGACAAAAGCCCGGGGAGGGGAGGCGGTTAAAATAGTGATTGCCAAGGTTTCCAAGAGCCCCGCTTGCGAAAACAAAAACAAAGCGCAGAGCGGCGCCGGTGCCCGGTTCCAAGGAGGGGGGTGCTTTTTTTCCTGCTTTTTTTCTCTCTTTTTTTTTTTTTATATTTTTCTCCTTCTCCCTCCCGGGCCGTGGGCTCTTGCTGTGGTCCCTGTGTCCGGCCGGAGCAGGACGCCGGTCGCTGATGCTCCCGCAGGATGCAGATGGCAGGTTCCGGAGGCATTTCCAGCGGGCCGCGGAGCTTCCTTTAATTTTGTGTTTTATAAACCCTTCTGGGAGGAAAAAAATAAATAAGATCCAAAGGCTGCCGAAGGGCTGGAGCTGGGCCTAGCTCAGAGGCACCCGCTTGGCATGAGTGAGCTCGGCCAAGGCTTGCAGGGACGCAGGGCTTTGCTGCCTGTCCACCTTTTGGGAATCCGGTTCCATGTGCCGGGTTCGGATGCGCTTACGGGTGCTCGGCGTCTCCCAGCGCGCCGCTGAGCAGATGCCTTTAATTTAATTTTGTCAGGCACAAGTGAAGTTGCACAAGGCGCGTCTTCCTCCGTGCCGACAGCGCGATGGATCCCGGGAGGAGGAGGGAAAAGGGGGGGAAAAAACACCCTTTCTGCAGTAAATTGCTGGCAGAGAAAGGCTGGGCCTGAAAGTTAGGAAATACCAAAGTGAGAAGAGCACGCTTCATTAAAAATTCATCTAAAATAGCCATTATAGAGGAGTCGTGGTAATTAGCTGTGAGAAGAGTTTTCTCTGCTGGCTGCGGATTCCTAGCGGGAAGGAGCGGGACGGGAAGGCACCGGAATCGCGACAGCCCCAGCGGTGCCCAGGGACCTCAGCGAGCAGCGAAGTCCCCGGTAGCTCCTGGGAGCTGGATCGTTGCAACCGTGACACGTGGCAGGTCCAACTGCAGAAAAGCTCCGCTGCACCCGTGGCTACTGCAAGGTCTGCGGCTGCAGACAACACATGCAACTAAGAATTAGTCCTTTTTGGAGCAAATTAAATACCGGTTCGGCCGAGTGTGCGTGAGCACCATCCGGAGGGGGTTTCCTTGGTGGATGACCCGGTCTCAAGCGGTACCCGCAGGTGATGCCCGGCGCCCGCGCGGGCCCGGTGCCGGTGTCACCCATGCCTGGCCTTTTTTGGCGTTAAAACGCCTCGTCCCTCTTCCCTCGCAGTGAAACACAGATGTTTAATTTTAGACTGGCAGATGTTTCACTCCTGGCTGAGATCTGAAGCAAAGGCAAGATAGGGGTATTTATAAACCAGTAATATTTTTCCTGTACTAATTCCAGATTACCTCCGTGTATAAATAGGTCACAAATCAAATCTCTGCGTTTCGGTACATTGTTATAAACGTACTATTCCAATGTAAACTCTCCTCGCCGGGCTCGGTGCGCGCGGGTCGTGTGCGGTCCGCGCTCGGCTCCCGGCTCGGCCCGCGGCAGCTCCATAGCAAGCTAGATGCTGCTGCTGTCCTATGAGCGCCTGGTGACTTCTCGGTTCACGCTGTGGCCCTGCAAAGATGTGTTTTGTGTTGCGAGTCAGTTGCTTGAGTCCTGCTGTGTTCTAATTCCCCTTTCCAAACCCAAACCAGCCTTTCCTTACCTGGAGTCTGACGGCCAGGAGGTATTGAAGGAGACGCAGGCAAAGTGAGTCGCGTGGCCATGGCTTTGGTAGCCCGAAACCTAGGCCCTTGCCCATTGCAAAGCAGTTGTTGCAAGCTACAGTGTCCCTATACATTTCAGATCAAAGCGGATCCTTGAATAAATAAAATACATCAGTGTTTGACTTGTAGCTATCTTAGCTTGCTTTTTAATGGTTTCCTGCCAGTCTCTCTGGTAGCTGGTAGGCTCCGTTCTTCGCCGGGAACAAAACTGCGTTAAACAATACTTCCCATTGTGGGCCCTGGTGTTCAAAGGAAAGGAGCTGCTGCCCTCCGAAGATACAAATTAATTAGAAGCGAATACTATCCTGTTCTTTAGAGCATAAAGGCCAAACAGACTTGCTTTCTCTGGAAACATGGGAGCAGAGTGTCTCTTTGCTGCTGCTGCCTTACGTAACCGTCCCTTGTGCGGTGATTAATGGCCGTGGAGTTGCCGTAGCACTGGAAGGCCCAAAGCTCTGGTCATTTTGGAGCTGTATCGTTGCGTTTGCTACTGGTGTTTTAATCAAAACAAATTCCAAAAATGAATCGTGCCCACATTTAATGAGAGATTTGTAAACAGCAAGGCCATTGGGAGAGAGGTAACCGAAATAGAGTAGTAGATTCGATTATGCTTGGTCTTTTTTAGACAGAATTTTAACTTGTCTTGTGAAGTGTTTGGCTTCAGAGATCAAATGCTAACTTCTATATGGCCTCCCATGTGCAAAAAGCAATGTCTTCAAAAGCACTGAATTTTTTCCAGGTGGAATTGTTCCTGGCTTTTCTCAATGCAGGGTGCAGGACGTTAGTGTTGTTTTCCTGGAAAGCTGCTTTTCTTTCAGGAAATGGGCTTGACACCACATTCTTTGAAATTAGCTAGGAAGTTAGCTTTAAATCAGTAGTTCTGCTCTTTTTCTTGCAGGCTTCATTATTGCTGCATCAGGATCTGTTTGGCCCCAAATTTGGGCTTCATTGAGTGCTTGTGTGTGACAAGCAGTAAAGCAGTGAGATTTGTCCTTGTTTCGTGGCTGCTTGGGTGCTGTGGAGGTTTCATGTTTTCAGTTCCAGTCGTTTTGATATAGAAGTGGATGGGGTGTGGATGTGGCTGAGGGTTGAGGCAGGGCCACCTTAACCCTATTGCTAAGTCTGCAGTTTTGGGCTAGAAAATGTCCCTCAGCCTCTTGAAGCTGCTTAGCTTGTTTGCAAGGTACCCTGACACCTGAGGCTGGAAAACTCATTGCAAGTTTGAAGGATAATGCAGCTCTTACTAGGACTGTGTGGGGTCCACCTTGGCTTTGCCTCCTTTGGATGCTGCTTTTTGTCCAGCAAAACCACCTGAAGATACGTCTGTGTGATCAGAGCAGTGACTAATCTCCCTTTTGGTCTCAGAATATATAAATATTGGATAAGGAGCAGCACGGACTGTTGCTTTTACTGTGACGAGGATCCTTTAGTGTAGTGGTTTCTACTGCTCTGTGGTGCTTTCCCTGGAGACATACAACATTCCCACCTTCAAAAAGGGAATAACTGGAGAGCTTTGAAATAACTTGCTGAGTATCATTGCTTGTGTGCCCTCCTCATCCTCTCCTAACAGCTGAAGATCTGCCCTGGTGATGGACAGTGTTTCCCCTGCTACCCTTGCCTGCAATTAGCCCAGGCCTTATGAAGTAATTGCAGCCTAATCTCAACCTCTGCCCATGACCTGTTAGTTCAGAATTGGGCATTTAGACCAAAACCAGGTGCCAGGTGTTGGCAGCGTGGATTGCCATCCTTCCATTGCCTCCAATGAAGACCTTGGACATCCCAGCCTGGTGTCTGTGACTGATGGGCAGAGCAAGAGGTCGTGCCCAGCCTGTGTAATTTTAACTTTTCGGTCTATATGCAACTGAGAAGCAGGTGGAGGGGGACCCTAGCTGGGTGCTTCATGAGGTGTCCTCCAAGAGCTCCTGCTGCTGCTTCCCACCCAAGGCTTGCACTGGTTTTGCGAGGGTCTTGGTACCCTGGTAGCCTGCTTTGGTGAGAGTGTTTTGCCAAAACCAAGAGTGGAGTGGGCTGTTGTTTGTCTAGTATTAAAGGGTTTTAATGCCCTTTTGAGCACCCCTCTGCTTTTGATGAGCTTACGGGGGAAAATATGAGTAACATAACGGGTCTTTCAGGTGCCTTGGCTGTGTGAGCACAAGGTTCCCAGCCCCCAAACACAGAGATCTGTGCGCTTGGAAGTGCTTCCTGGAAGAGCTATTAAATGGGGAAATATTTCAACTGATGAAAAATTGTGTATGTAAATGGGGCTCCATCAGCACTACAAAGCACTCCCACTTTGCATAGATAATCGGGCTACGAGGGCGAGAGAAATTAGTTGTAAAACATCGTGCAAAGTGTTCTGTCACTGCTGCTCCTTACCCATCCAGGACTGCGCCGGGGCATCCGCGCGCCGGTTTTCCTAGGGAAGAGGCATCCCGAGGCCACGACGACTTTCCGGCACCGTTTGCTTTAAGAAGCCCCGTGCCTCGCTGCAGACTATCAGTATGCAGAGCAGCTCCAACTTTGGAGGGAAGGAGGGGAGCGAGGAGGGTGGGGATGTTTCCAGCCTTGTGCCTTGCAATGCGGAGTCGCCCAACAATGCAATATTGCAGGACATGTCCTAGTTAGAACACTAATCCCTTTGTGGAAGAGGCATTTCCGCTCGGTTACTGCAGCAACAAGTTTGCAAAACTTGTTATTTTATCTAGGCAATTGAAAAAAAAAAAAAAAAAGGCCTCCAGATTATCAGAATAACCGCAATAAAAGACACCCTTTAAATAGGGTACATTTTGAATTCAGAAACTCTAATTGCTGTTTTTTCCTATTTTCCTATGTCTGCACTCATACAGAGTGAGGCATTGAGCTAGATTTGATTTCACATGTAGCACTTGCCACATTATCAGACCTTTTGGGGGGGAAGAAAGATCATCACACAGCTGGGATGCAGTTCAGGAGCTGCACAATATGCACTAGTGCAATGGAGTCGATACACACCTGTGTCAGGCCTGTTTTGCTGTGATTTGTAATTTTGAGCATGTCTGTGGATTGTAAATGTGCTTTAGAAAGCTAATCCTCTGTACGCTCACGTAACCCAGAATTGTGCAGTGCTAGGAGTAAAACTCGGTTGTTTTAGCTTTTCAACGTTACCGTTTGCTAATAGGCAGTGGCAGGCCCCATTAATGGGATGTAAGGGAATGTTTTAAGTGAAATCGCAGCTGTGTCCTGGTGGCTCAGTGTAATTTGGTTTGGAGGCCGCAGCTTAATGAAATTTTTTGGTCGGTTGGTTGGGATATTTCTTGTTATTGAGACAAAACGCTGGCCTCAGAAAGGCATCAATTAAGCGGAGGCTTTTCGGGAGATGCGGTGCAGCTCAGGGGAGGTGACTGGTGGAGAGCGAGTTGCCCCTGTTGACTTTTCTGGGTGTAGCATTTACTGCAAAGCCCAGATTTTAGCTTCAGCATTTTTAAAAGTCAGGAAGAGAAGTTGCTATGGTATTAAAGCAGTTATTTATCAAATCTGGCTAATTTATTCAAAGTTGAGTAAGCCTGATGCCTCTTTAGGTGTTTAGAGGAGACTAGTTCTGCTCCATGCATGATATCCAGCGTGCAGAGCTGCCCGTTTTCAAAAGTGGTGAAATTGGGAAAAGCTGAAGCGGGATTAGGTTCCGCGGGTGCCCCTGGCAGAGCGGGAGCAGGAAGGCGCCGTGTGCCCAGCGCGCACGTCCTCGCCGCCGGGCATCCTGCCTCGGCGCCGAGCCGTTCCCGGAGCAACGCGCAGGGCTGGAAACACGAGCTGCTCTTGCATGATAAGCTGTTTTAATGTGGTTTTTTTTTTTTCTTATTTTTTTTTCAAGTTGCTCAAGAAAAGCCAGAGCAGATCCCACTGGAGAATCGCTCCTGCGTCCTCATCCGGCGGGATCTGGTCGCGCTCCCAGCCAGTCTCATCAGTCAAATCGGATACCGCTGTCACCCAAAACTCTACTCGGAGGGAGATCCTGGAGAAAAACTAGAGCTCGTCGCAGGTACTAACGGGTTAACGTGTTCTTTGCTTGAGGATGACTGGGGAAGGCTGATATTTTCCTTCTTGAAATGTGTCCTTCCTCTCGCGTGCGCCATTGTCACAGTCGTACATATTGTATGCCCTTGCGATGTCATTTTGTATTATTCATCACTAATTATCTTATAAAAAAAGGAACTTAAATTTCCTTTAATTTGCTGATAGAAAAACGTGTCATTAACAGGATTTATTCAATTGAATTAATTTAGCATTTTAATTGAATTCCTCAGCTTGTATTCTTCCCGATTGGTGTGGGCAGCATCACAATTGTATTTTGATTTAGATGCACAGATTAAAAAAAAAAAAAAGTCCTCATATTATAAGACTTAACCCAGCAGTGGGTATAAAATTAGTGTCAGTGAAGAAGCTTTGGAAAAGCTTTAAAAGTTTTCTGAAAACTGGGGGTGTTATTAAACTGTCAAAAATTTCCGTAGGAAGGCAAAGAAGGAATCAGTTTGGATTGGTCCTTTCTTCTGGGGGTATTTTTTTCCATTTGGGGGGGAATTTACAATTGGTGTTGGAAGGACGAGCGGGACAGGAAAGAACAACAACGGGACGAACGGGACAAGGAAAGAACAACAGCGGGATCTCTTGTCCTTCCTTGTGGTCGTTGATCTCTCATTGAGCAGCATTGAGTGGATTTTCTTTGCAGTCTCTAGAAGGGCTCTTAATTTCAAGAAATACCCAGAGAGGTTTCTGTGTGATCAAGGACAGCTTTCTTCAATGGAAGGTAGAAATAAAACGCACGCACAGCACCACAGCAGAAAGGCACGAGTATTTATTTTATCTGGAATATTCATTTTATACCCATTTACATTTTATGTGAGACTTCTTCAGAAACATCAAGTGGTGCGGGTTATTTTCACAGCGCGAGCTGCAAATTGGCTTGAGGCATCTCTGCTTGATTTACATTTTTCAATCTGGGGGAAAAAAAAAAAGTAGATTAATATCTCTAACTGATAGTAGCTGCTTGGGTTATTCTTTATTTATTAAAGCGGCGCCTGCCTCTCTTGCTGGTGGTTCTCTCCTAAAACGAGCTGCTCATTAAAGGCTCGGTTGCTAATGACCGTCTCGGACGTGGCACAGTTGGACCCGGTGGCACAGCTGGATGTTGATGAGAGAAGCCAATTTCTGTGAAAGTCCCGTAAACTCCGTATTCCGGATTCTCCTTTTGTCTCGGATTTTTCGTGCTGTAATCGATTCAGCAAAGTGCGGCGGCTTCCCTTAGGAAGGCCTGAAAGGAGCCTTGAAACGGTCCTGGGAGGCGATGGACGGGTGCACGGAGCAGAGCGCGGTGCTAAGGGGGAGCTCTGCGATCCGGAGCGATCCGGAGCGATCCGCGCCCTCCGGCACGAGGGAGTTAATGGTCACGGGGTGGAACCCGGACCCGGTGACGCCCCCAAGCCAAGGGGGCTCTTGGTGTCATCATCCCCCAACCAGATGTTCTTGAGCAATCCCGTTATCCTCCAGCTTAAGAACAACGAGCCAGAGGCTTTCTTGGAAATTCAGCAGGTGATTTTATTCCTCCAATAGATTTTTTTTCTTTTTTTTTTTAATCTTCAAGACAGTGTGTTCTGCATCCAGATATGACCCAGTATTTAATCTTAATTAAAAGCAAACATCAAAACCCCTTACAACTCTCCTACAACAGTACGCTATAAAAATGGAATAACCTCCCTGTGCAAGCAGATTCAGAGGCAAAGAGTGGTTTGTTTTTGTAATCTGTGTGCGAAGCAGAAGTGTTTGATAAGGAAAGGATAAGAGACCTGCTATATAGCACTGAGGATCTGCTTCCAAACCTCTGGACACACCAAGCTGCTTTGGCAGGATTCCTTTTTCTTCCCAAGAACATCCTTAAAGCCCATATATTTCAAAGTCAGCAGTTCCTATGCAATAGAAGCAAAATTCCCAGCTCAACAGAACTATCAGGAGGTTACAGGGCAGGGTTTTTGGAAGTGGTTAGATCTGTAGCATAAGTATGTACCTTTTCTGGGGTAGGCAGGGGTTTTCTTTCTTCTTAGTCTAAAGTCTTTCACTTAGGAAAAGGACAGGTGGATTGGGATTTTCATAAAGAACAAATAATCTGGTATGTGTATATAAAATCATAGAAGAGAGCCCTGTGCTGCTTGCCTTTATAAAAAACAAATCTCTCATCTGATTTCCATAGACATCCATGCTATATGGGTAAAATTAGGGGTTTATTGGTGCCTGGGGCTTCCCAGGACCCTGCGGAGTTGGAATAGCAGCACTCATGGGGCTTCTCCAAAAATCCCATTGGCCTTTTGGGGCTTTTTTAGCCCCAAAGAACATGTTCTCTGCTGCCGTGACGAGGCGGCGAAGCAGGAGGAGCCGGTTCGAGGGTCACAGGGGATTTAATGCCGCTTTCTGCATCTTGGCCCCGTGCAGGTTCGGGCGTTTACATCACTCGGGGCCAGCTCATGAACTGCCACCTGTGTGCAGGGGTCAAGCACAAGGTTCTCCTGAGACGTCTCCTGGCCACCTTCTTTGATCGGTACGTCCCCTTGCCGCGCGCACTGTCTCGGGGGGGTCCCTTTGCAGCTATTTTATGTTAATGCATAGTGTATATGTGAATGTACATCCTGCACACGCGCTTTGCTTCTATCTCTGCTTTTTTATGAATTGGTGCATAAACCGGCGATTCCTCCGTAAGAAATGAAAGGGAAGAGGATGGTGTCCCCGGGCTGGGCTGGGGACGGTGGCCGTCCCCGGCCTCAGGCTCTTCCCGTGCCTTTCTTGCAGGAACACGCTCGCCAACAGCTGCGGCACCGGGATCCGGTCGTCCACGAGCGATCCCAGCCGGAAGCCGCTGGACAGCAGGGTCCTCAACGCCGTGAAACGTAAGCGGGGGTTCGGGCCGCTCCGCCGGAGCCGCGTGCCAAGAGCCGGGCCGGGATGCGAGCGGGAGCCCCCGGCACCGACTGACACGGCCGGGACGTGCAGCTCAAATCCACGTCCCAGCCGTGTCCTCTGGGCATCTCCTGCTGCTCCGGCCATCCCCGAGGTGCCCGGGGCTTTCCTTGCTCTTAAATAGTAAATGGGCCTCTGAGAGCCAAGCGTTTTGCTGGCTGCTTCAAACTTCTGCTCTTGGGATTTCTCCGTGCATGTTTAGCTTTCGAGTCCATTTCCCTGAATGTGTTTTATAAACTTCTTTTTAATAAGTAAAATGGGAGCCTTGCTGCAAGAAATCTTGCATGTTCTTTTTAAAGAGATCCTTTAAAAAGCCGGAGCAGCTTTTGCGTTTCTCATTTGAGCTCTGCACAAAGTTCTGCTTCTTACCTAGAGGTTCATCTAGTCTGATCCCAGAGTGCCTGAGCTCTGCTTTAGGGCTGATGCTTTGCCAAACTCAGCTGGTTTAAACCCAGCAGCCCTCCTGCTGTCCTGCAGGTAAGACTCCTGGTGGTTTTTTTTTTTAAATGATTAAATGGCACTCTTAAATTTAGCAAGGTCGGGGGCGTATAGGACCAGCTGACGGATGACCCTTCACTTTGGAAATCTGTGCACAATGATGAGTGTCTACAAAGAGTATTTTGTTGCTTCCATGATGATAGCTAGTCTCTGTATCAGGCACAAGAGAGCAAATGGTTGAATATTTGGCTATTGTGGTCGCTTTTTGGAACACAAGGAGTGTGTTATAGGGCAAAGGGGCTTGTTCATGGCCATGAGGGGCCGCTAGTCCTGGCTCGTGCTGAGTTGTGGAAGATGCTCAACATCCTCCCCTGCTTCTGTAGGACGTGGGCTTCCTTGTCCAAGGCTGGCACAGTTGTGCTCCAGGACACCAGGCGATGCTCACTCTGAATTTTATAGAGCAATATCCTGCAGACACGCTTTGGTTAATGACTATCCATGGGTGCTGACCCTCAATGAGAAAATATTGCAGCAGAGGCTTTGCTGGGCCAGGACGGAGGTCTGTGATGCCTGGCTCTGCAGTGGGCAATACAAGCAGTGGGACATGCAGGGTACTGTCTTGACCAGGCAGGGTCAGTCCCTCAGGTGCAATCTCCAGCTCCTGGCCACCACCTTTGCCCTAGGTCTGTTTCTGAGGGAGCTCCACCACGCTGGTGACCCTCTGCTTGATGGCACCTGCATGCAGAAGTGGTGGCTTGTTTCTAGGATGGCACGAAGGCTGCGAGCGCCCGGCCTTCCCCGTATTGCTTTCTCCGAGTCCTCAGTTGTGATTATCCCTGTCTTTGCAGTGTATTGTCAGAATTTTGCCCCAAGCTTTAAGGAAAGCGAGATGAATGTTATAGCAGCCGATATGTGCACCAACGCCCGCCGCGTCCGCAAGCGCTGGCTCCCGAAGATTAAGTCCATGCTGCCCGAAGGGATGGAGATGTACCGCACGGTGATGGGCTCCAGCACAAACAGTGTCCCCCTGGACGCCGAGTTCCAGCCCAACACTGCTCAGGTCTTCGAGCAGCGCATCTATGCAGAACGGAGGAGCGAGTCGGGGACTATAGTAGCCCTGAGAACTAACACGGTAAACGTAGATCTAAGCAACGGCTCCAACCCGTCCTTTGAACAGAGCGAGGATGCCGAAGGCGCTGGCTCTGTTATACAAGAGGCAGCTGCCACGGATGCGCTGGCATCGGATACCCAAAGCACTCCACAACCTTTCGAGCAAGGCTCGGGCTCCACTAGCCGGCCAGAAACTCCCGTGAGGAGACAGGATGGTACCTACGGAGGGACTTTATAAAGAGAGCAAACATTTTGTGATCTATAAGGGATCTGTAATACTAAAGCTGCTTGCATGCATTACTAATACGAAACAAAAAAATGTGATCAAGCCACTTACCTACTGAACTGCTACTGTTGCCTGAAAAAAATGTGATTTTTATTCTGCTTGTATTTAAAATTTATGAAGGAAATAATCGCATTCGTTATACTGTAAACGACTAGGTCTGTGGCGACCTACTTAGAAAAAAAAAAAAAAGAAAAAAAAGAAATATTGGGCTCCTTTTTTGATATTCCTGAGGTTAGTCTATAAGATTGTAGCTTTTTCGTTTTTTCTTTCTTTTTCCTTTTTTCTTTTCCTTTTTTCTTTTCTTTTTTTTAAGAAGGGGAGGAGAAAAGCTAGCCACCCCCCCAACCACCCCCACCCTGTCATCACCACCCCATGCATCGCTCAGCTCAGAATAAAGCCATCGTTGGCCTTTTCCTCTAGGGAAGGTGTCACCGTCGCGGGACAGGAAGGCGAGGGGTGTCCTTAGGGCTTCTCCCGGCAGCGGCTTGTCCGCGCAAGTGCCGGAGGGTTTGGGGAGACTCGTAGGACGCTGGCGGTGTCGGCAGCGGGGAGGAAGAGCCGGAGCGAGGCGGGATGCCGGAGCCCCGGGCTCGGCGCTGAGGACGGGATCGAGTGTTTTGCGTTGAGGGTTCCCTGGAGCAGAGGGGCTCGCTCGGGATCGGGATCGGGGTGTGCACGAGGGCCGCGGAGCCGCCTCGGGCATCGCCTGTGCCGGCCGTGGCTCCCGCTTGGAGCGTTGCCGATGGAAAACCCCCAAGTTTTAGCGTTTCTGGGAAGAGTCGTGTGGGAGGAGGAAGGCTTGGGGCGCTCATCCTCCGGGCGGGCTCTTTGGAGCGCGGAACATCCCGTGGGGAACCTGTGGGTGCTGGAAAGGGATGGACCTTTGGGACCGGGCCGAGGTTTTGCTGCTCCCGGGGCCGTTTTTTGGGCGCATTCGCGAGGTTTGCAAGGCTGGAGGCTGCGCTGCAGGCCGGGCGATGCCCCCCCTGGGCCATGGGGGCAGCCCGGGAAAGCCAAATGTGGCTTGAGTTTTCTGTCGTTGTTGTTATTTCAGTTATTACTTTAACTGTGATAAAAATGCCTGCTTTAAAGACATTTATGGTGTGTTCTTTTGGAGGTTTGGAACTATGAACAAGCGCAAAGTGCACAGAGTTGCTCGGAGGCGACCGTGGCTGGTCCCTTTGGGGCTCCTTTCTGTTGTTTTCGTTCCCCCCTTTCCTGGTTCCCGAGTTCAGCGCTTTGCTCAGGGTTTTCTTCCTTCTTTGTATTTAAATTTAAAGAAAATTAAAGTGTGTGTTGTGGGGGGGAAGGGGCAAGAGACGACCCCGACTTCTGGCCATTAGTTTTGTTGTCTTCGATACTTGAAGCCGATGGCACCTGGTGACAGTGAAGCCTCCGGGGTGGCCCCGCGTGCCGGGGTCCGGGACACCGATGCAAGGGGGACCGGGGCCGCGGCGCCCGCGGGCGACACTTGCACTTTACCCGCGGGCACCAGCAAAACTCGGGTCTTGCCCCAAGGCCTCCTGCGCGCGGGGGCCTGGTGGCATCTCGGGGGGCTTCGCGGTGGGTTGGTGTCCCCCATGGCTGCTCGGTGCCATCCCGGACCCCCCGGTCCAGCAGAGCCGCCCCCATGGGCTCCCCAAGGGTCTGGCCACCGAGCCGGGGGCTGCACCAGCCTCTGTGCTGTAGATGTGGGTGATGGAGCCCAGCAGGACCTTCCTCCTCCTCCTCCTCCTCCTCCAGGGCGCTCGGGAGGGCTTGGGGACGGTGCTGGACCAAACCACCCCCCAGGGATGTCCCTGTGTCCAGGGGGGACGGGGCGGCAGTGGCAGCAGTACTTGAATGACGTGGAGCGGCTTAGGGCAGAGTCTGAAGAGAGTCGAGTTGCACAGTGAAAAAATATATTTTTATACCTAGCACAACTTCCTGTATAGTTTTTTTTTCTTTCTTTCTTTCTTTTCTTTCTCTCCTTTTTTTTTTTATTTGGGTTTGTTCGTTTTATTAATTGTTATTATTATTAGGAAGGCAAACTTCTAAAATGTGAAGGGCGTTGGGTTTTTCCTTATCTGGTAGATGAGGGCAAGCATTTTGCACTAATGTTTCCTGTGTGTGGAGGATTAATGATATGTTTGAAGATGTTATGTGGATAATGATTGTATTCTTCCGAGAAAAAAAAAAATAACCCCTATAAAATACTGAATGTAAAGTGAGAACAGAGCAGTCCATCGATTGTATGCGGCTTTCCTGAGTGCCTTAGAATTTTTTGATCTTTTTTTTTTAATTATTTTTTTTCTTTTCCAAGGAAAACGGATCGAGCAAAATCAGATCATAACCAACTCCTTCCTTCCTCTTTGTTTACGACACTATTTTAAATTATAGAACTTGGGGCTGCTTTATAATGTGAATAGGGAAACTGCAATCATCTAGGTCTGGTAGTATTAAAAAAAAAAAATCAAAGCATCAGTATTTATGGTATGTCTGCACCTTTATTCTTATGCTTGACTATTAGCAATATTACATGTATATTATATATCTAAAGTTATACCAAGCACCTTTAAAGAGAACGGCGCGTAAGCATACGAGTTACATGCAGCTGCCATATAGCGTAGAGCTCGGACCCCCGCGATGCTGCTTGGCAGGGGGCTGCACATCCTGCCTCCCTCCACGCGTGAGCGCCAAAACTAGCAGTTCTGCCCCCAAAACTGCAGCGGACGCCCGGGGCCGGCGGCTCCCGGACGGACCGCGGCAGCTCCGAGTGGCACAAATGGCTCCTCCAAGCCCCTTTTGCAGAACTGCATCCCTTTTTGCGGAATCGCATCCCTTTAGCAGAACTGCATCCCTTTTACGGAATCGCATCCCTGTTTGCGGAATCGCATCCCTTTTGCGGGATCGCATCCCTTTGTGGAATCGCATCCCTTTCGTGGAATCGCCCCGCGGTGCCGGCGATGCCCCTGGGTCACCACGATGGTTGATCCCCCTTTCTCAGCCACGGCAAAGCTGGAGCTGCTCAGGGCTTCCCGCTGGCTCCTGAGACCGGTTTTCCGTGGCCGTTTTTCCTGCAAAGGATTTGTTCGGGTCGCTTATTTTCCCGGGAATCGCTTGCTGCGAGCGGAGAAGGTGCCCAGCAGCAAATCCGAGAGGCAAAATCGAGCGTTCAGAGCTGTCTCGGGCTAAAACTACTGTTCCAGAGTTGTTTCTGCTGTATAAATTTGTCACCGCGGCGGTGACGCCAGGTGAGAGCCGGGGTCTGGAGCCAGACAGACAGACAAAACCCCCCGCCAGGAGCCCCTCCGGCATCTAAAGCACTCGAATCGGAAACCCCTCCTCGTTTCTTCCACTGTTGAGCATTTTGCACACACACAATTGTGATTTTTATGTCAAAAAAAAAAAGCCAAAACTTGCAATACTATTTTTAGCAGACAAAAATAAGTAAATAAGAAAACAACTAAGTATAAATGTATAAATATTTTTGACTTGAACATTTGGACGGCACTTGATTCAAATAGAACATTAATCCTTTGGACAGAATGTTTGGGAAAAAAGGACTTAAAGTACAAGGTTGTTTTTAAAAGCGTCTTCATAGGGTATTAAGTAGTACTGTAATTCATGACTGTTAAAAATACTTTCTGTGCTGTAAGGAGAATCTCACAGTACCACTGAATTATGTTTCTCAACTGTCTCAGCCACGAACGATGCTAGCTTTTTTTTATCGTGCATTATTCACTAGTATTTATGTGCTCTTACTCTGTATAGTTAAGACTGTTATTTTGTAGCCATGGCTGACAATATATCGGTAACTAAAAAAAAGAAAAAAAAAAAATTAAGGACCCCCCCCGTTGGAACTGTGCTCATAGCTGTTTTCATATGATGAAAAATCCATTAAAAGAGAAAACAAAACCCAATGTGATCATTAATTGTAAAACGCTTTGTAAAATTCACATTTACAAAATAATAAAGTAAATTACAATTAAAAGCTCTGCGTTGCTCCGTTTCCTTTGGGTGCGGAGGCTGGGGGAGGCGGGTGCCCAGCCCTGCTCTTGCTTTGCTCTTTATTTTCCTTTTTTCTAGGGATTATTTTTTCTAGTTAATTCGGCTCCCAGACCCTTCGTGGGCCCCCGCGATGCTCCCGCCTGCGCCCGCTCCTCAGACCAAGCTAAGTGTGTTCCCCCAAGGACAAAATTACGGGTTTTTCCCCCAATACGGGCGCATGAGTGGCCCTTGTGGGGCTGCAACCAGCCCCGAGGCCACGGGGAGACCCCGGGGCCAGGATGGGACAGGATGGGACAGGCGGCACCTTCGCCCTCCGGTCCCAGCCGTGACACGAGCCGGGACTCGGAGCAGCCACCGCTGGGGACCCACATTGGACATGAGTTTGTGGGGCCTCTGCTTGGGTCGGGGGAGTCGGGGCGGGAAACATCCCTGGTGCCGGCGAGGGGAGCTATGGGATGAGCCCCCCGCTGCATCCGTTTGCTCCGATCCCGCCGGATCCCGGCCCGGAGCCGGGATGAGCAGGATGGCGGCAGGGCTCCAATGCTGCTCACTCTCATTTCGGCCTTTCTTTTTTTTTTTTTTTCCAACGCAATTGGCCATAAAATTGCTGAGAAGCTGCATTTCCCCCGCTTGTCAAAAGGAGGGAAAAAAAATAAAAGTGCCCAAACTGTGAGCGTTTGGGGTTTCATTTAATCTCATCTCGCTGAAAGGAGGAAAAAAAAAAAAGGCACAGAAACTTGGATCCTCATGTACAACACATACCGCTGTGTTATATAAACCATTTCAAACTGATTTATTCTAAATGAGTTGTTATAATCAGAATTTTCCTTGTGAGCAGCTTTCTTGCAAACGTCAGTATTTCAGGGGAAAAAAAAAAAGAAAAAACCATCATGCGACTGCTCCAATATTTCAAACTGATTACTTATAAACACCATTGCTAAAATTAGGTCTTTGGTGTGCGGCATTGTCAGAGCGGGGGTATTATGAGCTGCAGAGAGTATAAGAAGATAAATGAGTTATTTAACGGAGCGAACGGCGTCGCCGGAGCCGGGCGGGAAGGGGGAGCGGGGG